AGCAGGACACTACTTCCTGGTCCTGCTGCAATCTTTGAATCGATTTCTTTGCTCTTCTTAATTAAAGTAACAGTACCTGATATTAGGCTTTCTTATTCATAAGAAATGGAGATAGGAAGCAACTTGGATTGTTTGGAAATTAAGAATTCCACTATGTGAAAATGTTGAGGTTTTGGTATGCGTTTCTGATCAGGAATGAAACCAAAACTTCTGTGTTTCAAATTTTTTTTTTTAAAGCACCCCTGCCTTCCCTCTCCTCCCCTCCCCCCCAAAAAAAAACAGAATGGGAGAGGGAACACAGAATAGCAATAGACCAGTGATTCAGGCATCCAGGTGGAAAACAAGACACGCAGGTTCAGGTCCCTCTCTGCTCTGTCTGACTCAGACCAGGGACTTTAACTCATGCCTCTCTCATGAGTGCTTGAATCATTGGGCTATTGACTCTCTGTTTTCCTGATTAAAGTTTCATCAAAACTTTAAGTATTAAGGAGGGTGCTCTGCCTGATGCAGACCAGTGACATGGCTCTCCCACACCCCAGCTGTCTGCCCTAACCACTTGTTTATTCTGGGCATGCATGCACTCTCTTCCCTAGTCAAAATGAGGCAATCTTTCTTACCTAAACCTTTGTTGAAACCAAACCAGTTTGTGTCAGCACATCTGAATTTTCTCACTAAAAATTTATTGAAATTTCCCAACTAGTTATAGAAATGACTGACATGATCATCCAGTCCTTTTGCCTAGCAATGTGTGATTTGTTTCTTATAGTACATATTTTGTCCAAGTAAGTTTGTATGTGTATTATTCCTATATTTTGTTTTCCTTCTTGAGATTTAATCCCACACACCCTGAAGTCAGATGGGCTTGTTGCCAGGGCTTTTAATAAACAGGGTTCAGATCGCAGGCACAGTGATTTTTTTCCCCTGTAATAACTAATCCATTATCTTAATATTAGATTAGTGTAATTGTCAGGATCAATCTTATTTCCTGTTAGGAAAATCTGTCACTTTTACTTTTCTCCAATGTTTCAGCCTAATTAAATTAACTAGCGAGATGTTAGAATTTCAACCTTGAAATACAATGCAGTTTCCTAATAATAAGGATATTGAACATTGGAACTGCTTAACAAGGGATGTGTGGGACTCACCAGCTCTCAGAATCATTAAGACAAGATTATATATCTTTTTGAGATGACTTTAATGAAGTTGGGGAGGGGAGAGGAATCTAGGGCCTGCGTGTGCAATGGACAGCTTGAGTGGTTGTGATGTTCTCTCCTAGCCTTAGATTTTGTGAATCTTGTTTACTCCCTCACTTCATGGTCCATGGAGAGAATGGGAAGCTATGTATTGTTTGCATTATGTTCAAATCACTTTCAGAACTGCATTAAAACAATTACTATAAATAAATCTACTGCTTCAGGGCTTCACCTGGCTGTCTCACTTGGGTTCAGGAAGAATATTTTTCCTGCAGATGAACAGTTGGCCAACTGAATTTTGGAGTGGGAGAGAGGTGTGTGTGTGTGTGTGTGTGTGTGTGTACGTACACGTTCTTTTTGCCTTCGTCAGAATTATCATGAATGGCCACAGTTGGAGATGGAATACCAAAATGAGAGGACCAGTGCTTTGAGGTGATATGAAGAATCTTATTTCTTAAATGGTTGGCTGGTGTATCTTGCTTGCATGCTTAGAGTTTATCTGATTGCCTGTTTGTGGTCAAGAATGTTTTCCTGCAAGTCACATTGGCAGGAACCTTGGGAGTTTTTGCCTTTGTCTGTATTTGGAGCAACATAACCGGCTAGAAATACCTGAACATCTCTGTTATCAATTTCCTGCCATTTCAGGGACATCAGGCATTGGTGGCACCTAGATCTTCCCTGTTTCCTGCCTGTGGCATATAGTTGTTTAGTCTCTGAAGACTGAAAAAGCTTTAGTCTACCCAATTTACTGTCAAGTATCACAGGGGTAGCCATGTTAGTCTGAATCTGCAAAAGCGGCGAGGAGTCCTGTGGCACCTTATAGACTAACTGAAGTGTAGGAGCATAAGCTTTCGTGGGCAAAGACCCACGTGCCACAGGACTCCTCGCCGCCAATTTACTGTGTTCATCATGGGTTTGTGCACAAGATTTAATAGCTTGTGGTTATACCAAGGTCAGACTAGAAGATGATCTAATGAGCACCTCAGAACTTGAATTCTATGAAAACTATGAAATCTTTGTGTACGTTTTGCAGTAGTTTCTGGATGCAGTAAATTTATTATCTCAATTCCTTTATACATTAGGTTTTGTGTCATTAGACTGGATAATTTGTACAACATATGTTCAGATTTTTCAAGTATTCCATTATCTGTTCTTTTTCAGTAGCTAGTTTTACAAGATCTTGCTCCATTTTTTAAAGCATTCAGACGTCTCAATTTTTCTTCTTGTGTACAGATTTTAAAAGGAGTTAAATGTTAGCCATTTTTTACTGATTAGTTCAGTTCTCTTATTCACTTTTACCTCTTTGGTTATCATTAACTCAGTTTGCTTTTCTGTCATCCTCCTTCTTTGAAGCTTTAACTGATTGAATCTGTTTTTTCTGTTTTCAGTACAAATTTTCTTTAACCTCAAACTTTTAAATGTATTTTATAAACTCCCAGTCTCTCCCCAGTTCTTACTTCTTTATTCTTTTTCAAAGAAAATTTTGACTGATATCCCTTAATTATTTTGGGCCAGATCCTCAGTTGATATGAATCGGTGCCACTTCACAGTGGAGGTATACTGATTAACACCAGCCAAAGAAATATCACTCACTGTCTCGTAGAATTCCACATCTTTTAACGACAGCAGTGGACTATAGTGCTTAATCATATTACACTTCATCAGATTTCTCAAACCCTCAAAATGTTCTTATCTTGAATCTGTTTCTCCTGCTCTGTCATTCTTTTCCTTAGTAAAATTAGTTTAGATAGTGGTCCATCCTTCGTTATTGTTCTTTGATTCTCAAACACTTCCTTTGGATTAGTTTAAAAAATAGATGCTGGGCAATTTCTCCTTTAGTTGGAGTGGTTTCACTTTTTGGATCATTAAATTGTGTAATTTAAGAACTGTTTGTTGTTTAAAGTCTGTTCTGATTAAATTTCTTTGCCCCATAGATATTTGTTAAAATCTCCCATTGGCACTGGAGCATAAAAAAACTAGTTTAGGAATTTTTTGTTCTCTCTCCTGTCCCTGTGATGTCCACAGTCATGTCTGATTTGTTGTTCATTCCTTGCATCTTTACCCAGAGAATTTCTGTATAGTACATAGAAACTAAATTCGCACCTTTTTTTATCAGTTCCTTTTTCATGGATGTAGGTCATCTTCTCTACTTGGAATCTCTAATTCAGTTCATGCTAGATGTTTGAGCTGATCAAAGTAATGAATGATTCAGACCTTGGTCCCCTTACATGTAAGGTATATAAGCTCTGCAGCAACAATGCATTAAGCTTCGGATCAAGAAAGCAAGTAGCATGCTACTTGCCAGCAGCTGCTGATCTTGTATTGACTTTGCAGGGAAATGCTATTGCTGTATTCAGTTCCCTTCCCCTTCCTTCTCCCCCCCCCCCCCAAAAAAAAAAGAGAGAGAGAGAAGCAGCTTAGAGCCCCAACCCTCCAAAGAGAACTACCCAGCCGGACACCTGCGTCCCCACTGTTGTCAGTGGAGGCCCTGTACAGTTTTCCTTGCAGCATTGAGGCACCCAGCTCCCAGACTCCTCCTTGATCAATCTTTCTGTTTTCACTACTTTGCATTTTAAAACATACTCTTGTGTTCCTTAGCTCATAAAACAGAGTATTATGAGGTAGGTCATCAGCTGTGAAATGATTCAATTTGTAAAACTGTGCTAGAGAAAGATAAATCAAGTAAACAACTAGGTAGATATGGTTAAATATTATTAAATGTGGCTCTGACATCTGCTCTTCTCTCTTTCCAGATTTGGGAAGGGGGAGGGCAGTTGGAATTATGTTTGCAGTTAAAATTAGTGTGCTGGCATGCTGAGAATTGCAACACTGTGCACTAGCAGATGACAGAACAAGCAGTGAAATCGTTATCTCTTAGCAACCTTAAAGAATGTATAATGAACTATACTGAGTGTGAGGTACCTTTGACCTGAACAAATTAGTTCCTACTAAATCCCTTTCTCTCTGGTATTATCTTTTTTTGTTGGTAGTGTTGTTGTTACAGGAAAATTATTATAGATTTGATGTATCTGGAATGCATTGTATTTATTGACTTTTTTTTCCTAGTTAATAATTTATTACCTGCATAATTTCAACATTCACCGATAAAAGAAAATATGTCCAGTATTCAATAATACTAGAATTGTTGTAATCACTTATTGCAATTGAGGTGGTTAAATACTATTTTCATAATGGGTTTTTACTTCTGTAAAAAGTAAAAATAATGTCTGTTTTAACACACTCAACTTTTTCACCCTTCTACATTACATTTACATGGTTTCTGCTGGATTTTTTTAATTGTTAATGTTTTATTTTTCCCTTTTAATGTTTTTGTTAAGGAATTTTTTTCAGATGGCATGGGAACTAGGTTTCTTCAGCATGGAGAAACATGCTAAAGTTACTGCCTTCATTATATTACATTACATTTAATTAACTTGTTTGTGTACTGTATTCCAGGAAGATGCACAAGTACAGTAATGATCTGGATTTTTGGCTGTGTACAACTCTAGGCATACTTGGATGCAAGATAGATAGCAGTGATTAAACCCACATCAATCAGTTGTAAATTGAGTAATCATCAGTATACTGATGATTTTTTAAATAGACCCATAGATGCTGGATTAGGCCACTTGCATTTACAGTAATGACTATAATGAAAATGCTGTTTTTAATACTAATAGTTGATTTCCTTTGTTATTCCCACTTCCTATCCCTTCCCATTCCCCTTAATTGGAACTCTATTCTTATGTAATCTTAGTTGAAGCTGTTTCTGACAGTGTCTTCTGCTACCATCGGCTTATTTTCTAGATGGGAAGTGATGGAGTTTTGCGCCTCAGTAGTTCCGCTCTAAATAATGAATTCTTTGCATATGCAGCACAAGGGTGGAAACAACGATTGGCAGAAGGTAACTCTCTATTTGTTCTCAGATTTACCAAATATTATTTTTTTATTTCATAGCCAAAATAAAAATATATATATTTGAAAAATATTTTAGTGTGGAAAATGCATACATTCAGCAAGAATAATTGCTGACTCAGTTTTGAATTTATTCTAGAGAATCTCTTTTCAGTTACTAATTTTATAGTTTGCTGTGCTAGCTTATTTGGACAGTTTAAAAATAACTAAATAAGCATTTTCATCACTGTCAGCTTTAGAAACATAAATGCATGTGACTAAATCCCACCAATATACTTTGGAAATACCAAAGTTATATGCTAATTACAATCTTCCAGGTCACACTCACCTTTGTTTTGCATTGAATTACTGTTTGGATGGCTGCAACAAAATCAAGTGTATCTGTGTAACTTTGTACATTATGTAACGGTCCAGTATCAGAGTAAACTTAGACAACTTTTATTCAATATGTTAGTATGTGTTTTTTAGGAGAGTTTACTCCAGAAATGCAGTTGCGCATCAGACAAGAGATTGAAAAGGAAAAGAAAACAGAACCTTGGAAGGAAAGATTCTTTGAAAGATTTTATGGTGAAAAGTAAGTATTGGACAAAAACCAATTTTGTTTCATTTTATTTTAGATGGAAATGAAAATATTCTGTGCTTCAAATAGCCATTGTACGTATGTTGTAATACTTAAACCAGTTATCAAAGGCATTGTGGGTAAATGAAATAAGAAATTGTGTAAACATATTGTGGCAAATCAGCATTTACATAAAAAATGCATTTTATGAGGTTCAAAACTCATCCATAATAATTCATTCCATGCAGAATTTAAGACCAAGTCTGAATGTGTAAATAAATTTTATTTTAAAAGTATTGTACAAGTTGTCCCTCCCTGAACCGGGACTTTCTGGTCTGGCAATATCCGTGGTACTGCTGGACCTTGGATGGTCCTGGACTAGAGAGCCCTGGGGCTGAAAGCCCCATGCACGGCGAGACTAGTGGTCGTGTGGCCAGAGCTTCAGCAGCAGTAACAGGGCAGAAGCAACCTGACGGACAGCCTGGCCGGGGCTGTAGCAACCCACCTGGGGCCAGGACAGTTCGTGTATGTTGGCCTGGCAGCAGGGCTGGAGCTGCGGCAACCCAGCAGGAACCATGGCAGACCTGCAGCCTGATTGAGGCCGCGTACTGGCCCACCGGTAGGGCTGGTGCTGCTGCAGCAACCCAGCTAAGACCAGAGCAGCTTAACCAGGGCCATGTGTCACCCATCAGAGGTGCTGGTCTGGTGCTGCTGCAGGGGACCAAAGCTGCATGCCACCGTGCCAGCAGAGAAGTGGGGTCGTCGTGTTGCTCAGCCGGCAGCATGGCTGAAAGAGCCAGCAGTGGGGAGGGGTAGCAGGCTGACGGAGATGGTGGCAGGGAATCTCCCCTGATCTGGCAAATTCCCTCACCCAGGACTGTTCAGGTCCCGAGGGTGCCAGATCAGGGAGGTCCAACCTGTAGCAAGTCAGTTTTTATCTGAAACTATAAACAATGTTTTTACAAAATCTGAGACCAATAGTGCTGTTTTTCTGTTGTTATTAAAAAAAACAGTTTAAACAAATGTCTCCTGAGGTGTTTCTGATTCAGACATTCCAGCATTGGACTAAGTGCACAAAGTATGGAGGTGAAATGGACTAGAGAATAACATCACAGAAGTGAAACTGAGTAATCCAATTTTGTTTTCTGAGTTGAGGTACAAAAACAAAACAAATATCAGAAGGGGGGGGGGGCAAGATGTATCAAACCAAAGGCTTAGCTGGTCTAAGTTGTCATAGCTCTGATGTCAGTATAGCTATCTCAATTTATAACAGCTCAAGATCTGGACCTTACATTTTTTGTTTTAAAAATCTAATATAGGTAAGGAAATTGTTTGTTGGATTTTTTTTAAACCCAAGAATGTCCTTTTAATTAGTTTTTAAGAAGTCAGTCTAGCTGTCTTTGACCTGTATAGGTGTTAAAATATAAAATAATATTGAGTTTTTTGGAGGTTTGTGTAATTTTTTTTGTGCACATGTAACTTTAAAGTGACTTCAGTTTATAACTTAGAATACTTTCTATGGAAAATTTGTGTGGCTAATATATGTGTTTAATAGACAGAAAAGGCCCAAAGTAGCCACTATAATATGTGGGATTGTTTATATTTTATTTACTTTAAAACTGCCTTTGTTTAATTTATGCAATCAAGGACACTCAGAGGCCAAAACCTACATAAACATGAAAGTCAGGATTACGACAGTAAATGAAGCATTGAGCCTTGACATTACACCACATGCACTAACTTGCTCGATCCATTGATTTCACACCCCTGCAGTATTTAGGCAAAACAAGGCAGCAAATTAAAGGACTGAATTTAAAGTTCAACTTTACATTTCATTGCTAGCTGCTATCTCATAACATGATCATTATTTGCACATCATTTTTATCTATTACACTAAAGCATCACAATGTGTTTAAAAAGAGCAGTTCTGTTATCAAGTGGTAGACCATTTTCCTTGAAATCCTGGAGACCTGGATATAATCCTGCTGTAGACCTCTTCATTTAAATATATGTAAAACTAGCCATTTGCTTATGGAGTCTGATGACCTTTATTTATGCATGTTAGTATAAAAGTAAGAGTTACAAAACTTTGCATTAAGGAGAGGACTATCTTGAAAGATTGCCTTTTGACTTTCTACTATAATTAGAAACTTAAACACACATTAAGTAAAATTATTATCTTACTTTAAAGGAAATCGTGTTCAAAAAATACACTGAGTAACATGTTCATCGGGGGTAGTGTTAATTATTTTAAGGGTGCCTAATGGCCAACAGATAAGGTTCAGTATGCAATGATACATGGCAGTAGTTGTTTCACAGTAGGTTCCAGATAGTAATGCAGGGTGTCATAATACTCAGTTTCTTTTCACCATTAGACTGAGCCTGTTTTTCAGTATCTGTTCTGCCTTATCTGCATGTTTCTTGTCTGACTAATCTTCTAGCATCTACTATTTTACCCTTCCAGGTCTCTCTTCTGCTTGACTTATATCAAGTGTTTTCATAATGGATTACTGTTTGTCTGGCAACATCCTTACTAGCATTCAGTCTACTTGCTGCTTGCTACCTTGTTTTGACTTGGGTTTTGTAAACTTGTTTTGAATAGGGTTTGGATGGTGTGCCTTCAACTAATTTGATCCTATTAAAATGGAAACTTTTGATTGCTCCAATTCTTTGTGAGCTATTCCTCAAGTGTCTTTTCAGTAAACTGGGTCTCATGTTGGGATCTGACTGATTCTCATTGGGGCTTTTGTTATGACTTTCACTGAGTTATCTGCTTATACATATACCATAGCCTGGCTCTCAAGTTTCATCTAAAGAGAGATCTTCAATAAATTGAAACCCTTTGGGATCATCCTGTTCAAACCTCCTTTTAATTCATAGTTGTAGGCTGTAAGCTGGAGGTCTTCTAGCTATTTGCTGTACTCTGTACATTACATAATATACAGTAAGGCCTCCTTCCTATTTTCTATTTTCTCCATGACCATTCTGGTTCTCTGACTTTGAAATAGTAAATATTTGGTCAATTGATATTCTTAATCGTGACCAGATTATATGTCATTTCACGTACATTAACTTTGCATTTTTAGAAGGAACATGATTGTCACCTGATGAATCCTACTCCAGTGGTCTTATCCCATAATGGCTACCGCTTTTCCTCTTCTCAGAGATTGAACTGACTGTGGTGATGCTCTGATCTCTAGGCACTGACATTAGACCAGTACCCTCTGAATTTTAATGCTGTTTAAAACCCTTAATTAAATGCCAAAATAGTCACATTGATTTCCCTTAACTATGGATTACTGATCGTCCATGTAGCTTTGATGCTTATTTTTAATTTCAAGATTGGCTATCAGACTTTACCAAATAATTCCACACTTATCAGTTATAAGTACTTTCAGTACAGTGAGCACATTTAAGCTACGTCTGCACTGCAGGCTTTTTGTACAAGAACAGCCATTCTTGTGTAAAAAATTGCAGAGCATCTACACTCTGTTCTTGCGCAAGTAAATTTACAGTGTAGTGTCAGAAAACAGGGCTTCTTCCAGAAGAGTTATTCCTCTCCCCACGAGGAATAAGCCCTCTTGCGCAAAAGCTCTTCCACAAGAAGGTAGTGTAGACAGGTAACATGAATTCCTTGCGCAAGAAACCCCTATGGCTAAAATGGCCATCAGAGCTTTCTTGCGCAAGAGAGCGTCCACACTGCCATGGATGCTCTTACACAAAAGCACATGGCAGTGTGGACGCGCTCTTGTGGAAGATCTTTTGCACAAGAACTCTTGCACAAAACAGTTCTAGCACAAGAAGCCTGCAGTGTAGATGTAGCATGCCTGTCAATCTGATACTTTCCATGGAATTGCAGACTTGTTGTCTGTCTCTTTAAGACCTGCCAGTTGTACAGGCTGTTACCGTCTTAAAACCAGTGATCTTAAGGCATTTCTGTGTTGCAATCTGCTTTCTTCATTATTCTCTGAGCCCATGGGAACATCTTTTAAGTCATAATATCAAAAAGAGTATTGCCCTATGTCTTTATTGAATACATACCATTAAAAGGGCATTGTCACATAAAAAAATGGAGTAGATTCAACATATTAATCCCTCCTCCTTTTTATTTCCATTGTATCTCTTCCCTGTCATTGAAATTATTAGTTATAATCTATTTGATTCTTCTGCTGATATATTTTTCAATATTACAATGTTTTTCTTTTATTTATTCTATTTTTTTTAATATATGCAGGGGTGGTAGAATAATTTTATATTTGGGCTGTGATCATGGAAGCCGTACATTTCATTTCAGTTGTTACTACTTCAAACCAGAAAGTGTGGCAGCAACCCCAGCACCACCATTTCCAGTACCACTGTCCATATTACTTAGTGATTGATAGACATTTTGGCTATGTCTAGACTCAAGCCTTTTTTGAAAGAGGCTTTTTCAAAAGATATTTTCAAAAAATCCTCTTTCAAAAAAGAGTCTGGATGCTCTCTTTCGAAAAAGCACAGTTTGCATTACATAGCGCCTTTTTTCAAAAAAGCACTTTCAAAAAGCGTTCTTTCTTGTAAAATGAGGTTTTCTGCAGTCGAAAAAACTGCCACATTCTTTCGGTTTACTTTTGAAAGTATGCATCAGCAGCCTAGATGCAGGGGAAGTTTTTTCGAAAAAAGGCCACTTTTTTCCAATAAAAAACCCCCTGTTGTTTATACACACCCTTTATGTGAAATGCACCAGAATGTGTTCATATGTAACAAGACAGAAAACAAAGTCCTCTTACTGGCTTCCATTTGTGTAGTGCCCTACCCTCTTCCTTTTCTTGAGACTGCTTTTGCTTCTCCATTCAGTTCTTTTTGGTTATTGAGTATTGATTGATTATTTTATAATATTATTGTTATTGCATAGTCATCAACACAATCTGTTCAGAATTCCTAATATGTGCTACTAAAAAGTTGATTCATTCCATGAATACTCTATATTTGGAACTGTTATGGTTCAGAACTAAATGAACTTCCGATTTCCTCTGTCAAAGTTTTGCAAATAATTCAGAACCATTGCTTGCTTTATTTCCTGAAATCCTTCATTCTTGCACATCACTCATTTATTCAGTTACATTGTCTTTGCATTGAATTGAGGATGGACTTCATTCAATCTTATGTTATTGACATAGGATACTCAAGACCATCATACTTCTCCTACCTCCACAGCCTAGCATTTGAGTATTTGCCAGCACTCTAGAGTGTCACATTGCTACTGGGCAGTCACCCATGGTCCATTCCAAAAGGTGCTGAGTATTCTCCCGCCCTATTGCCTGTGTTCAGAAATGAGGTGCTGATGGTCTTGAAGGATCATGTTCTTTTTATATAGTTGCTAAATGTACTTGTCATTTTTCAACCTAAACTAATGACTTCATAATTTTTTCCAATTGTCTGCAACTCTTAGCTGTGTTTCACTTGTATTTGTGTGAAGCAATATAATTTTATATGTAAATAATATATAATATTTTAGGTAACAAAAGGATTAAGAAAATATCCAAAAAATGAAGTGTAACCAAGGGTCAACACTGTAACCTTTTGCACTTTCATCACTGAAGATGCACTGACAATAAATTCCTTATTTATTGTGTATGTAAGAATGATGAAGGTGTTTTTGTAGAGAAATCTGGGGAGTTGTGTGTTCATAGACCTAAATATTAAAAAACTAAATTTTTTTTTAATGTAAGAGTGCTGTATTACATGCTTCTGAAATAGAATGGAATCAAAAACATTTGAGCTTCCCACTAATATTTTCATACTTGATGTAGTAGACTCCTGATTGGAAAATAAATGAGGATGAATAGGGGTTCTTTTAATCTTCATTGCAAAAAGCATGAAATGATTAAGAATTTCTAAACGGAAAAGAAACAGTTCATCACCCGGAGGCAAGAATGAGTTTTTGAAGTGCAGCTTTGCCTGCTAATTTAGGCACAAATGATATTAACTGATTTTTTTTTCTGAACTGCTTTTAAATTTCATACCAAAATTGCTTTCATTTGATGTAAACAATTCACCTGCAGTAGTTGCAGTGCAGCATTGTGCTTGCACATGTACATCAGAAGGGGCAATGGAGTATAAATAGAAGTGAATTCTGCATTTTATGTGCAATTTGGATAAATTGTCAATGGTTAATTGTGTTTTTAAAATTTCTGAAGAATTACTGATCAATTGTAATATAAGTAATATAGATAAGGAAATTTGTTTTCCTAATTATATAAAGCCAGATCCTCAGCTGGTGTAAATTGTCATCACTCTGTCTCTCCCCCATTATTTTTAATTAGACAATCTCCTTTTAATGGCATGTATTCAGTAAAAGCATAGGACAAAAATCAAGTAATTGCTTAATTCTGTCTGTGATTCTATGGCATGTTAACTTAAGTGGTTTGTATTTTAGGTTGGGAATGTCCCGAGAAGAATCTATGAAGCTTACTGCCGTACAGAATAGTGATGAAGATGAGAATAGTTTACTGTGTGGGGCTTCTGACATGCCTGGTCCTTCTAAACAAACAACTTTTGAAGACCATGAACAAAAAAGCATGAAAATTGCACCTCTTCCTGAAAAAGATTTCTGCCAGTCTCTTTGTAAAGTGGAACAGGTTCCAGTCAAAGATTTAATGGGGGAATCAGATTCTGAGGATATCTTGGTGCCTGATGAATCTGTAATTCAGGAAGAGATTGCTGAGGAAGTTGAGACAAGTATCTGTGAATGCCAAGAGGAGAACCATAAAACAGAACATGAGTTTTCTGAGGAGCCAGTGAGCCCACCTGGTGCTAGCGAAGATGTGGAAGCAGTGCCCCTTGTAGATAACTCTGCATCCTGTGTGGTGATGAATGATGCAATTGATACTTTGTCTCATATTGAAATTAAAGTGGAGTTGAAGTCAGAATGTCCTCAGGAAGACATGTCAGTTGTAATTGATCATCTGGAGGATGGTTTATCACCTGCGCAGTCTGCCTCACCTACAAACTCTGTCAGTGATACAGCAGAGAAGGATTCTGAGTCTACAAAAGAGCTAAGTGCTCCAGAAACACACAAATCTGCTCTACAAGGCTCATTGTTCACTCACGGAGGCATTGCTGTGGATATGGAGCTACAGAGTGACCCTGATGAACAGTTATCTGAAAATGCTTGTATTTCTGAAACTTCCTTTTCCTCTGAAAGCCCAGAGGGACCTTGTATCAGTATTGCCTCTCCAGGAGGTGACACACAATCCACTTCAGAGGAACCTTGTACTCCAGCGTCTCTTGAAACGGCCTGTTCATCTGAGGCATCCAGTGGTGAAAATATTGAAGCTGATAGCCAACAAAAGACTATTGAGGAAAGCCTTCACACACCTTTAATGTCAGAAATATCTCCAGTGTCCACTTCACCTGTAATCTCAGAAGCTTCTCTGACTTCAAACTTACCTTTGACGTCAGAGGCCTCACCAGCTTCTAATTTACCTTTAACATCAGAAACCTCTCCAATGTCTGATTTACCTTTAACATCAGAAACCTCTTCTGTGTCTTCTGTACTTCTTGCTTCTGAAACATCTGCGGCAACCAGTTTACCTTTTCTGTCAGAAACATCTCCAATTTCTAATTCACCACAGAGTGAAAGACTTACTCTGCAACAAAGGAAATCACCATGTTTATGTGAAGAATCCCTTTCCCCTTTAAAAGAAGAAACTTCAGCCATTCCTAAGGCATCTCCAGAGGAAAATCTTGTTGTGCAAGAGAAACAGATTCAGAGTATAACTGAAACTATGAAATTGGGTCCACTAGCAATTATACCTGAAAGTTCAATATTGGAAGAACCCCAAAGCAAAAATCTTACTCATCAGTCATGCAGGTCGCACACTGAAACTGAGAAATCTTATATTGCTTCCATTTCAGAGCTCTCTTCTCCAGAAGTGATCAAAATTAAAAATCACAATGTTCCGCAAAGAGCTGAAAAGAAAGGTGTGCTCTCACCATTAGAGGCATCTGTCGTATCAGAAGGCATAGTGGGGAAAAGCTCTGAACTCCTTCCAGTTAAACCGCATGATAAACTGTATACCTCATCTGTAGAAAAGACTTCATTCTTAGAAGTGTGCAGAAGTAAGTCTCACAAACAACAAAGCAATGCCCAGATCCGGCTGGAAAGTTCCCATTCTTCTAAGTTATTAGAAACCACAAAATCACCTGAAGTAAGGATTGAAAATAGAGATTCAGAAGTCCCAAAGAGGAAGACTGCGGAGCAGCACAGTTTTGGAATCTGTAAAGAGAAGAGAGCTAGAATAGAGGATGATCAGTCTAATCGTAATACTGCATTGACAAGTCCATCTGAGAAAGAGCAGCCACCTAGAGAAGAGCCCCGAGTCCCACCTCTCAAGGTAAAGTGATGGTAAAAGCACACTGAGTCAGAAGGCTAAAGATGAGTTATCTGCTGTTGCTTCTGGATTTGTCTGTTTCTCTTCAATGTTTAGCTTAAGGAAAGAAGCAATTACTAGTACCTTTTCTTTCTGTGTGGCACACTTTGAGTTATTTCTATTGCTGCAAAGGTGCTTGCATGTGAGGGAAAGCAATCCAAATATATATTTGAATATATATCCAAATACAAATAAATTCATGGGCTTTTCCATTATTTCTTACTGTATTTGCTAATTGCTCAGTCTGCAATATTCATGATTAAGCATGATTATCATAGTCTGTTTCTCTTTCTAGTGAGGATTTTAGAAAACATGTAATTGAATAGTCGTGTAACCACATCAAATTGTAGCAGTTACATGGTTATTCGATAGTACCCGGGGTGGAGCTGGCAGCCAGTGCACTTCGAGCCCCCTGCCACTCCACACTGCTATCTCTCTATCAAAGGCAGCAGCATAGGGTGACGGACAGGAGCCTGTCTGTTAGGGGAGCCGGTTTAAAAAAAAAACGGATAGAGAAAGCAGCATGTGGGGCAGGCAGCACTGCAGAGCAGGTACTAGGAGAAGGAGAGCAAGCTTTTAAGACAGCTCTCTCTGCTCCCCTCCTCCCACAAATTCAATATTTCAGCTTCCCTGATGAAACCAACTAGAAAGTAGGGATGTCTATGTGTAGACGACTACATGATTGATTGATTATCCTGGGATTATCTGTTAATCCTGTTGACTACATGAATTTCCCCCTCCCTTGCTGCCTCTGTATTAAGAGTCATCCGGGGGAAGAGGCGGGGGGGCAAATTGCTGTGTACACATTTGTCTTTTTTTCAAGTGTTACCTCCGGTTGGAAAGTTCTTTTTAACATCTGAGGACAATCTATTTATTTAATCAGTTCTGTGATATCTTGTCCATTTTAATTTTGTACATGATGCTGATGGCCAACACTTATGTCCAGTGTACTCAGTTCAAGCCACTTGCTGTGCACTGAGTTCTCAGTTATTAATTTATTTGTAACTTCTTTAGTCATTGAACTTTGCTAATTTGACCAGGAGGGCAAATACAGTAAATGGTTTGGTCACAAGTACCACAGCATGGAGTAGCTAACGGTAGTTAATGAGCAAGGATACAGTTGGAATCTTGCTTCAGTGGCACAGAGACTCCAGCCTCATATGGGATTCCAAAAACTATCCAATGATAAAGAAAAATAGGGAGAAAAAGGTATTGAAATTATAATTTTAAACTAATGATCAAGAAATAGTTTATATTTTATCAATCTTGATTTTATAAAGTAGATTTGAAAAAAGAATCTGTTTTTGAACTGGAAAGCAAAATGTTTCAAAGTAGTGTTTTAAAATATCAGTGTACTTTTTGAAGTGTCACTAACCCAAGTATTAAACTTCCTTCTCTAATTAAAAAAAAAAGTAACACAATTATTCAAGAGATTAGTTGTAGATGATGGAACCCTTTGTCTGAAGGTTGCTTGTTCCAACCTAGTTGAAATCAGCAACATTGATTTTTTGGTCACTATCTGCTAGATATTCGTTGGTGTAAGTGAAATTACTCTGATCTCATTCCATTTCCCAGATGAGAAGTTTCCACATTACAAAATCACCACCATAACTAGAACTAATTGGCAGATTTGGGAGAATCGAATTGGCTTGTAGACTGAATTGCACTTTCCCTCGAGATCAGGATTGAGGTCCATTGGCAGAGCTGCGTGGGGAGAGTTAACGCTGGCACTGTCAGTGCTGTACTGTGGAGAAATATAAAATTTATATTACTACAGCACTGGTCCTTTTAGTTCCACTGCTTTCTAATAGAAAACCAAATTCATTCAATCTCACACATCATCAAATTTGGGGAAATGGCAGCTCCTATCAGTAGACAGAGCCATCGAAAGGAGATACTGAAACAATGGCAGGCATGTATAAAAACTTCTTTTGAAAAATTATATGTTAATCATATCTTTATTTAATCAATATTTAGCTATATAAGGTGGAGCCACTGACAACCACTTACCTTTCCTGACAAAAATAACCCTGCCATTGTCACAAATCTTAAGAACTTTTTTGTAGCTTTCACTTCCTTTAATTCACTACTTTTCTTGTGAATATTACATAGCTCATTTCTCTTCTACTTTCCAAAAGTTCTGCCTGGCTTGATATATTCAATATAAGTGCATCCCACAGACTGTTCTTGGAGCTTGATTTGGATGTGGCTTCATGACTCTTGTACCCCAATTCTGCAATTATCTGTGCATATGCTTATCTTCGTGTATCATAGGAGTAATCCTATTGATTTCAGTGAAATCGTTCATGGTGTACATTAAACACTGCTGAAATGTTTGCAGGATTGAGGTCTCAATACACAATAGTGAGAAGGTGATACACCATTCAAGTTGTTACTAATAGTATCCTAAAATTAGGATGGAAGGCAGGAAAAGAGACATTTTTGTAATTAACTCCTTTTAGGTTTTAGTCAGTAATTGATCCTCGATATGGTCTGAACTACAGACTCAGAAGACTTTCAGATGCCTCCTAGCTGAAGGAAAGGTTTTTTGGTTGCATTTGCTATTGCAGTATATGTTTGGTTTAACAAAGAAAATGTTAAGTAGTTACCAAGGCCTGAATGCGTTGGAGCGAGGAACAAAAATACTATATGATTATTATTTTTCAAACATTTGCAGTGGATGTTACCTGGGAAGCCTTTTACAGGCCTACTGCACTGGACCTGTTGATCTCCGACTAGATAAAAATGTAGATTAGGAAGGTGTGATGAATTATATCAGATAACCATTATATTTTATTACATTAAATCAACTTTCCCTCTCAACAAAAGGGTAAGTCTATGGAGGCTAATTCCAGGTACTCGTTATTTTTGTTAGAGGAAGATAAAATAGTAAAATGAATATATTGTTAACTTTTAGCATTTTTCTATGTACCTACACTGCCTGGTAACTCTAATCATGGAGGGCAAAGCCAGAAGGGACTATCAGATCATCTAGTATGACCTTTAATTCACTTTATTATCATCCTCTGAACCTTTTAGAAGACAGCTGAGAAATTAAATATATATGATATACCATTAAAATGGTTTTCTTTTTTCTTCTTTTAGATTCAACTTTCAAAAATTGGGCCACCTTTTATCATCAAGAGTCAGCCTGTTTTGAAACCAGAACCCAGGGTTTCCCCAAGTACATCAGTCAGCAGCGGGAGGAACACTGGGGCTAGAACTCTTGCTGATATCAAGGCGAGAGCTCAACAAGCTAGAGCCCAGAGAGAGGCTGCAGCCGCAGCTGCTGTGGCAGCAGCTGCAAGCATAGTCTCCGGAGCAATGGGAAGTCCCTGTGAAGGTGGGAAGACAAGGACACTGGCACACATCAAGGAGCAAACAAAGGCCAAACTCTTTGCAAAGCATCAAGCCCGAGCACATTTACTCCAGACTTGTAAAGAAGCAAAGTCCCAGCTCAGTGCAAAGGAAGGTCCTTCATCTTTAGAGACCTCAACTCCTTCTGACACAAAGATTGAAGTTTCTACTGGTGTCATCATAGTTAATCCTAACTGCAGGTCTCCTAGCAACAAGTCTGCTCACCTCCGTGAAACTAACACTTTATTGCAGCAGTCACTGAACACAGCTACGTTGCCAGAAACTGCAACAGACATATCTGTGCACAGTTCTGATGAAAACATACCTATGCCACATTTGTGTGAGAAAAGTATCTCATCTACCTCCACTGAAAATAACAATGTGCCAATGCTTTATAGCAAACATTCAGTTCCTGTGTCTGCTTGCAGCACTGCTATGTCAGGAACAATTCAAGACCTCCCCTTTGCAAGTTCTGTTGATAAATCCTCTGTTTTAATGTCCATTGACAGTACAAACACAACCATTTCGGCTTGCAGTGTAAACATGCTGAAATCCACCCCAGGGGTTGATACCCAATGCATAGCCATTGTACCAAAATGTATTGATAACACTATTGTTCCAGCCTCTATAGACAGCACAGTCTTGTCAAATTCCAATGATGAGAAAAGGTTGCCAATATCAAGTAGCAGTGCTAATAATGCAGTCTCCAGTCAATATACCACTGTGCCAACTTCATCCATTGCAAGTACTTTGCCAAATCATCTTCCAGGTAGCTCTGTACTGATTCCCCCGGTGGGGACTACTTCTAGATTTTCTTCTGATAAGATAGCCATAACTGGATGCAATGAGCAAAGTACTGTATCCATTAACACTACAGTTAGAGCAGCTTTGAGCTGCAGTGATGCAGCTGCAGTAGTAGACTCTGTTACAAGGCCACCCATTTCAATGTTTACTGGTAATATGGTGACAGTAAGTTCTTACGACAACGCTACTAAATTAAGCGCTGACAACTTAGAAAAAAGTTCTGGACCACGAAACCGAATAGATCTGTCCTGTAAATCTCAACCAGTGAGCTTTACACAAACAGCCATGAATAGGTCTATACCTTGTAAAGTCATTGTTGATCACACTACAACATTAAATTCCAATTTGTCACTGGCTGCTTCCATTGAAAATGCAGAAAACAGCATAGATCTGCAGAGCAGACTTGTGAGGGCAGAAACTGCCTTACAAAATGTAGCATGTCCTCAAGTGTCTGTAATAAGCAGGCCCGAAATAGTCAATAATGAAAGCCTTGAGCACAGTGCTAGCTTCATAACTGTTACATCAAAGCAAGAGGGCAAAACCTTGCAATCAGCTTGTTCAGCTCTTCAAGAAGTGCCTCTTACTCCTCAAGATAAACTAATTGAGGCTGTTGCCCCCAGCCAAAGTTTTGTGGAGCAGTTACGAGGTCCTGCCACCTTTAAAAGTGAAGCAGATGCTGCCTGTGTCAATCAGTATAATACTAATAACAGAATTTGTTGGCATGATGAAGAGGCAATGCATACTGACCAGCCAGTGGTCAGCCATCTCAACCCAAATAAGCATAAAGAATACACAGAGCAGACCTGTTTAAAAAATGTCAAAACAGAACCTTCAAGTTACACGCAAATCTCAGAGTTGCAGTCAAGAAATCTCATTACAAGCATTGCTGTTCCTGTTAAATCGGAAACTAGCGAATCTGACAAGTGCTTTAGAATGGACACTGAAGATTTTACGGGACCTGAAATGCCTAGCCAGACTGCAGAAATAGCCACAAGTGCACAGCCAACACAGACCTCCAAGACATCTGTTACAGATTCAATGGAGGACACTTTGTCATTGACAACGGAAACCCTAAAAAGAGTTACAAGTGCTGGAAGCTCTAGCTGTCGTTTGTCATCAGTTGAGGCCAATAATCCTCTAGTGACACAGTTACTGCAAGGCAACCTGCCTTTGGAAAAAGTGCTGCCGCAGCCCAGATCCGGAGCCAAACTAGAAATTAACAGGCTTCCCTTGCCTTTGCAAACTACCTCAGTGTGTAAAACATCAGCATCTGAGAGAAGTATGGTTGAAAATCCTTCCAGCTCACCCAATGCAGATAGTAAAGGATTTACAGCAGGCAACATTGTCCCACTGCAAATTAGAAAGCGGGAAAACCATCCAAAAAAGAGGATGGCCAGGACTGTGGGTGAGCACACTCAAATGAAATGTGAGCCTGGGAAGCTAGCAATGGACACAGATGTTAAAGTGGCTCCCTGTGTAATCAGTTCCAACGCGAATCCGTTAGGGCACGGTCAGCCATTTAAACAAGAGTGGCTGAGCAAACACGCAGTTCAAAACAGAATTGCTCACAGTCCAGAGATCAAGCAGCAGAAGAGGCCACTGCCTTCTTGCAGTTTCCAACAGAATTTATTTCATGTTGACAAAAATGGCAGTTTTCATGCAGAAGCTAGTACCTCACACAGACAGCATTTTTACCAAATGGCCATGGCTGCAAGAGGTCCCATTCCAACAGCAGCTTTGTTGCAAACTCCTTCAAAAGTCCCATCTGGCTGCAATGCATTTGCTTTCAGTAGGCACTTGGAGCAGAAGAGTTTGGGAGAGGTCAATATTTCTACAGCAGCTCACCAGCTGAGGCTAGGAAGTGTTTTTTCGCCTAATATTCAAGTTAAGGAAGGTGATGACATTGCTAGTGCCTCACAAACTCTACAGAATAAAACATTAGTGCATCCTCCTCCTCCCCCTATTCCAAACACAGAAGTCCCATCTGATCAAAAACAACCAACAGTCACTATGGAAACAATTAAAAGACTTAGTTGGCCTCAGCCAGCAGGCATCTGTAGCAATATAAAATCTGAACCTATTTCTTTTGAGGAAGGTTTAAGCAACAGCTGTGAACTGGGCATAAAACAAGCTTCCTACGATCAGAATGAAGTAAAAGAACAGTTAAAAGCATTTGCATTAAAAAATGCAGATTTCTCTTCCTATTTGCTTTCTGAGCCACAGAAGCCTTTTACCCAATTAACAGCTCAGAAAATACAAACACAGCACCCGCAGCAGCAGCAACAGCTCTGTGGAAATTACCCCACTATACACTTTGGTAGCACAAGCTTCAAAAGGGCAGCCTCTGCCATTGAAAAATCCATTGGAATTTTGGGAAGTGGCTCAAATGCTGCTGCCACAGGTCTGTCGAATCAGAACATTCAGATTCCGGTTCAGAAATTTGCTGACAGCAGCAGTGCAGATGAACTGGAACTGAAATGCTCTTGCAGGCTGAAAGCCATGATAGTGTGCAAAGGCTGTGGAGCCTTCTGCCACGATGACTGCATAGGCCCTTCAAAACTGTGTGTAGCTTGTTTGGTTGTACGGTAGAAACTGAGTCAAAGATGCAGTATCCCTTGTCAGCATGGGAGAGCAGAACAAAGTGGAGAAATTGTAACATTTTAGGCCATTTTTTCTGTTGATGCTTTGCTTCAGAATTTAGTTATTTCTGCTTGCATGACATTCCATGGAAAGAAGAAAAAAAGGTTAAAATTTTTTAAAAATTGCCAACCTGCTACTAAACTTCAATGAGCCGCATTGCTGTCAAAAAGAAAGGATATTAAAATGTCATTCCTAGCTTCTATTTATTTGCACAAAGTGCAGCACACTATTTCCCCACTTATATATTAGAACAGACCCTCTAGGTTATGAATAACAGGTTAGTTGAGCTCTCATGATTTCTAACTGCTGGGGTACTGCATTGCAGAGACAACAAGATAACTAACAACTTGACAAAAGACTGGGTTGGGTGCTGTAGCTTGGTGTTCTGTTACAAATCAGCCTGCAGACCTGCTAAATTGTCTTGCAGTTTTTCTAAGGCAATTGCTTTCCTGAACCAACCTTTACCACCCAGATCTAACTTATAAACAGTCAACCTAGCAAGAGAGAGAGACTTTAGACAGATTTAATTAAGAGAGTTTGCTCACTCCTACACAAAGCATTATGGAGGTAAGGTTTTAACTGTCAGCTGTTCTTGCTGATTCCCTCCAAATTAGATTTGTAAATGGGATTTGATTAGCTGGACCATGTCTAGAATCTTGTTGGTTTTAATGGAGTGTATAGGAAGTAACGATTTCTCCTAGAGAGCTGAGCATACTCTATTTTTCCCCTCTTCTCCCCAAAACTCCCTGTTACATCTATTGAGCTATCTATCCCAAAATGTACGTGGGTCAGATCTAGATAGAAAGCCAAGTTTTGAATTTCGATAGCATTTATGTTCCTAAGGTTGATCCCAAGGTATAATTGATTGACAAGCAATTATAGTTGAATGTTGAGCTGAATAGTAGAAAGTCAGTTATTTTCCCCTCCTGTATGATTCGCTATGTATTTAAATATGTTTGAGAGTTTTGACTTTAAAAAAAAAACTTACTTTCAAAAATGACTTAACACTACCTTCTTTTCTTAAAGATTTCAGACCACTTATAGTATCTCTTATAGACTTGGGAACTGCATCTTTTAAATAATCTTCAGTATTTATCCAGTACTGTATTTATGTTGAGGACTATAGCTGCGTTCCAGATGCATTAGCTCACCATAACATCCAGGGATAACAGCAGTAATTTTGGGGTCTTGTCCACCTAAAAGGAAAATATTATAAAGGGATAAGCACATGCAGCTGTTGGAAAGAGGAAAAAAAATCTTGTCTTTTCTTTTTTTTTTCTCCAAATTCAAGAACGCAAAATGTGCGGTATGAGTATCCATGCTGACATGTAGCTGTGACCATCCAAACAAATATGAGCATAGAGAACAACGTAATTTTCCCGTTACAGTAGAACCTCACTAATATGTACACCTTACTGTCTGTACAAACAACTGACATTCTGTCTCTAGTTCTCAGTGAAACACATAATAGCAATGAGTTGAGGTCTCACATTACTTAGATTTTAGTATTTATACTATGCGTTTACTGAAACATTCTGAAGTATTGACATGAACAATAAAACTGTCAAATGAAAATACATTAAGTTATCAGTATAATTGTTTATGATCTTTTTTGCTTCCTAATTTATAACTTTTGAATTGGTCTGATATCGTTGCATATTAGTGAGGTTCTACTGTGTATTCAAATTGCATTTCGTTTTTTGTAGGACCATGTTTGCATACATAAAATTTACTGTTTCTTTTGATTGTCTATAAAAATCAGTTGAAATGTTGTAGGAAGTACATTCCAGCCCTAAGAAGTTCTGTGATGCAAGTAGATTGCTGTTTTAATGTTGTAGTGGCCTCTAAGTATTCTAAGCTTCTGCTACCAGCTCCCCTCCTGTCCCACCACATACTTGGGGTTGCTGGCCCCCCATCAGCTTATGGCGGCTGGCTGCTGGCCAACTCCCTCTCCCCTCCGCCCCCCCTTATGGGTTGACCAATTTCTGCTCCTGGCCCCTCTGTGGGGCTAGAGCAGCCCTCTGCTCATGGCGGGCTGCTCCAAGATACCACTTAACGGATATCTGGTAAGCATCACCTGTTAAAGATGATGCTTACTGGGTAATCGGTTACCCATTCACCTCCCTAGTATTTATATGAACCAGCTGAGAGCTGGGAATATTTACATCTGGCTCAGAATTACCTGTCTACCACACATATCGGTGTTTGACTTTACTTGCAATTTAAAATATATTCTACCCGTGACTGGAAAAAAAAGTGTGGCATCCAAAAATGTTATGTTTTGAATGATGGGGAAAGATATGAATAATATGATAAATTATTAATTTGTGTCAATGGCATCTTTATACCATGATCACAGTTTGCATATTTGAGATAAGATAAAATGTTACATTAAAAATTCTTTGTATAAAATGATGCCTAACAACATAACACAATTGACCAAATCCCTTCATGGTGCCAGTCCTTTGACTTCTATTTGATGCCATTAGAGTTTCATTAGGAAAGAACTTGACCCGCTATTTAAAAATATCTTGTGAGTGGTGTAAGTCATTCATAGTCATAGAGTAAAATTCTAAAAGCAGTGAGCCTGAGTCTAGCTGACTTTTAATTTGAAAATGGAACGTACGTTCCTAAATCATGCAGGTACTTTTGAAAATTTTGCCCATGATTTTACCGAGAGTACACCTAAGATGAGAAATGAATTTTGGATTGCTCCTGTTTTTGTCTTTTTTTTTTTCTGAATTTCAGTCTCCATCTCACTGTAGATTCTAGTAATTGTGCAGCTTGCACTGTTGCGCATTTAAGGTTTATGCACTGAAGAGTGGTGAGAAGCATTACTTAAGAAGACACTTCTGTGTGTTTGTGTGTGTCAGTCCATCCATCCTTCCTGCAGATATAATTTACGCACATGGATTTTTGGAAAATATCCAAAGTTTTTTTTTCTTAGTTGCAGCACTTTTGGGAGAGAGGAAGAAAGACTCTTGTGCTCTTTTCTTCCTTCCTTCCTTCCTTTTTGTTAAATCTGTCTATTTTTAGGTGTGTGTAGTTAACATTAGGGCATTTGTAGTGTGTATGTCTGTCTTTGTGCAGAACTAATTTTTGAAGCAGAAATTCCCTTAGTTGAAATAATGTAAAGCAATTGGTGAACTGGGCACTCTATATCAGCATTCTATTTTACCTGATGAGGTTTAGCACATGAAATCAGTTAACTTAAAAATAAAGTTGAGCCATAAAGGAAAAATATATGCCTCTTCTTGATGTGGGCAGTCTGTGTTAGAGTAAGTGTCAGAATGGTCAGATCTTTCAGGGTCCTGGAATTCCTTGCACAGTTTATAAACTGGTGCATATGGTGCTTTGTAATGCAGTTTCTGAATAAAATTATCTTATGCTGCACCTTCCTTCCCCTTACAAACACACGCACAATTTCAGAATAGTTATTGTAGTCTCTACTTTAGCAGTTTCGCCAAAGTGTGGTGAAGTACCAGGAAAAAAGCTAAAAAATGTCATTTGAAGGGATCATCTTAGCTGACACATGTGAACGGCCCTGCTTTAAAACACTGAATGACTTTCTACAGTTTTGTGGCAGCTGCACAGCTGTTTACCTGTTTCTGTAGAACATTGGGGAGGAAGCAAAAAACAATATTCAGTGTGGATAATCATGGACCTGTGTAGCTAAATGTTTCTGAATCTAAAAGTCCTGTTGTCTTCAGTCATCATGCTTTTGTCACTGTAAAACCAACAAAAACATTTTTAGTCTAATTTAAAGGAGCTGCTTCTTTTATAGCACATATTTCGCTTTGTACTATATTTGATAGTTACAGAATAATTTAGTCTGTAGAATAACTTTGTTGTATTTGTACTGTTCATGAATGTTACAAGAAAAGTGCTTTACTTTGTTGCCATAATTCTCTTGTACTGCTGTAAAATATTTCTTCTGCTTTACAGAAACCTAACTCAATTCACAGTTTCAGTACAGGGTTTTTTATTATTTTAATTTTGTTTAATTTGTCAGTATTTTGAATGTTTACATCTGTTTGACGTTAGCCATTCAATGCCTTTTAGGGCAGTATTACTCCTGGGCTGTAACAGCAATGTGAAATCAACCCATACTTAGCATGCTTGAGAAACACAGATTTGAGGGAAATCCCTAATATGCATAGATTTTTTTTCATCAACATATGGAGAAGTAAAAACCCTCCTTCAGTCCTCTACCAAAGAAAACATTATTCCCATAGGACATGCTCAGAAATTGTTCTCTAAATCCTTGGAAAGGGGGAATAGATGATTTCAGTGGGGTTGCTACAATTTAATACTGTTATGCTTACTTTGTTACCTGACTAAATGTGACCAAGTGCAAGAAGCATTTTAACAATTTTTTAAAGACAGTGTTTTCTTTAGAATTCAGGGATCATACTTTTTCTTTAATGGTGCTGTTCATTTTTATTTAAAAAACAAAAACAGAAAACATTTGTTGCCTACAATTATGATCACTCATAAAACCATAAATTAAATAAATTCAGTTGCCTCCATATTTTTCTCTCTTCTCCCCCTTTTTTCCTTCCTGGTCCCCTGAAAATAACAACATGGGCTTCAATATTAAAATATTCTGAAAAAAAATAAAGAGATAAAATATATTTGTCAATGTTTTTCTTTTGTGCTCAGTGCATTAGGTGGGGTTTTGTCTGTGCTAGTTCATTGAATGTTCCAGTCAGTGAATGAGGAACAGAAGCACAAAATCTATACTTTTTAAAGTTGGTGAGCATTTATGGTATGATTGAGACTGAGCAGCAAGTGATACAGCATAACTGTGGCTATATGGAAATAAAACGGGATGTGAATATATTGAGTTTTAAGTAAAAGATTTACAGAACATAAAGAACAGATTAGCTGCACTATCTTCCAATGCAAGTCCTACGTATGTATTAAGTGTTCTTGGGAATCTGACTGTCAGTGCACTTGAACGCCACAGCCTGTTATGAATACCCCTCTCTCTTTCTCACCAAGAAAGAACTTAAGTCCAAACCTCAGTGGCCCTTGGATGACAGCTTCCCAGTGCAAACCCATTACCCAGTGATAAAACCAGAGTAGGTTTATAAACTGTGCCTCTCATGGAAGGGCGCACAACCCTGCCTGACAAAGAGCTAGCATGAATAAACCTGCAGAGATGCTTTTTTTATTTATTCCCCTCTAAGATAGATGTGTTTTCAGTGCCTTATGGGCAGAAGGCCTCACTCTCTCCTTTTACTCAGACTTGGCTCCTGATGTCCACCCAGCTTGCAGTGGAAGTTCCATTGAATTGCAGTATCTTCCTGTAAATAAAATTTTTCCTTCTTGTGGGAATTTTCAAGTGGCAAGGAGTATTGATGGATGTATGGGCTTTGGCCCCCTAAAAGTCCAGGACTTCACTTGGCAAGAATTCACTGGGACAAAATAATGACCACCTGGATTGAAATGAGCTCTTGTGTGTAATCCCCTTTCCTAAATCTCCTCTTTCTGTTGTGGCCTTGTTCTTGGTCTCCTGATAGTGCTCATTTCTGCCTTCGAGTTCTTCCAAGCAGCTTCTTCGATCAAGAAGCTGAGAGTTTTCCTTTACATGTAGTTTAGTTTCCTCAGGCATGTACAACCAATATAGATGACAGTGTAGGATTGAATGTACCAAAGAAGAGAAATTCCTTCTGAAGAATAACTGATAAAATTCTTGGATTTTAAAGATCTTTGTGTGTTGAATAGTAGGTGTCTCTTTCTGTTAGTCTAAAATTGAAGAGTCCATATCTTGGAAACTATTCTGAACCTTCAACTCAATGCACAGTATAATATGAGGCTCTATGTCAACTAAGTATCCAGGCTTTTATGCACAGATAGGGGAAGATGTGTTTTTTCAAAATGGATTATATGCTTCTCTACATCGTGGAAGTTGTAAACCTTCCAGGATACTGCAGTTTGGGATGCCTATGGCACAAGAGGTGAAGCTAAACCTAAATCCCTTAAGATGTGATTGTTGGAGACCACAATGTGAGCAGTCATGAATAGTGGTTGGAACTAGAGTCAGAAGTCAGGA